ATATATATATATATACACACACATACACATACACACACATATACATATGTACATATTCTTTTTCATTACAGGCTACTACAAACTGTCTCTGGATTCTTACAAAACCCAAGGTCAGAAAGCCCAAGAGGCAACCTGTGAGGGTTATTAGACCACTTAACTCAGGCCACTCGCCCTTGTAGCAACTGGAACCCTGCCCAAGGAGCCCCTAACTGAACAGCAAGCACCCCCTACCCTCTCCTCACCCCCATTCTGGGACTCATCGCCAGTGTTTCCTTTCTTCCACGTGCTTCTTGGTTTCTCACACTTCTCTTCCTAAACATGCCCTGACCTCACACTACGATTAAATGACTGGGCTATCCTTTTTAATTTATTGTGCTGATACACTTAATGACAATTCTATACAATGCTCATCAATGCTGGCACTGTCACCCCAAGGCAGGGGCTCTCTGAAACCTGGCACGATACTGTTTACACAGCAGTTGGAAAGGAGCAAAACTATACTTGTGCTGATCACAGACATATTTCAGATGTGAGCTCAGAGTTAATAAGGGGCTTCTTAATAAGTATACCAGTTACACAAATATTCCTGTATTTATAGAAGATTCATCAGGGTATGGTTCTCATACTCCATCATTTGAAGAATCTAAAAATATTCCAGTCACTTAATACACACTTACTTACCCACTAGTTCACTGATGGGCTTCACTCTCTGGGCTTAAATGACCACTCTAGTTTATAAACTACAGCTGAATGACTGTCAGCCAAGCTGCTAATTGTGTGTGCCTTAAACAGGGCATATGCCATAAGAAAATAAATAGAAACCTTTTTTCCCCCTGGTCTTGTGGTTTAAAAGACAATATTTTGGGCTAAAAAAAAATTCCATTTAATATTTATTTGAAATTGAGCTTATTTCAGAACTAGAATAAACAAACTCATACTTTTAAAATAAGGTAGTTTTTGTCATTTCTAGGGAGGAAAATCATATCATGTGGGCCACATAATCTGACTATAAAATAATACACATCTACCAAGCTAATACTGCCATTAATCCTATTACTTACCACTCTACTTATTGATACTGAATTTGACTGCCTTCATCCCTAAGCAGAGAGTGATTCAATTCCTCCTTTGGATATATCACTCAGACTTTTTATCACCCACCTGCATAGTAAGAGAAGGTGCGCTTGTTCCGATCAAACACAAACCAACGTTTCTTCCAAGTTTTAATTTTTCCACCCATTTTGATGAGGAATCCTCTGCAGGTCTTCTCTGTGATTGACACGTGATAGCAGGTATCAATATTGTGGCCAGCAGTCTCCACGTGGCTCCGCAAATCAAAGTCTTCCTTCCGGATGGGCAGATAGCGGGTCAAAGGTCGAGCCTGGAAAAGCACAAGCCCATCTCATCCACAGCTCGTCACTTGTTTTGTTTTAGGTCACAGATGTTTAGAAGTGAAAATGGACTGAAAAGCCTAGGTGTTAAATGCCCACGTGATAATCAGAACTTAAGATAAACACTGTCATTTGGAATCTGAAAAGTGGACAGCATTTTAAGAATGCTACAGGATAGGGGAAGAAAATGTGGATAAACTCAGGCCAACAGATTCTATTCCTTAAAATGGCCAGATGAGAAAAGGAAACATGCCATTTATTTTAGCTTTAAGAGAGGCACTTATCACTTAAAAGCACTGGGAAATGAAGCATGAAGTTATCTGGGCTGCTGCTCCCAGATGAGGGTAGAGTTTCCAGGAGCTCTCCCTGCCACAAGTTAACAGTAGTTCTCCTCAAATAACCTCACATGTGGCACAATTCACTGAACATTATTTAGTAAGTACAGCCCCCATCAGATCCCCAAGTATGTATGTACGTGGCAACCTGCATACACTGATAGAAACTGAAGGCAGAGACGTATGTTTTGAAAAGCAAAGCTGAAATAAGGGAAGAAGTGGAATCAAAGCTGTACCCAATGAGCTGTCCAGGACCAGACACGGAAGAGGCGTACAAAGATGTCTTTTGTTTTACTCTGGCTGGAGCAGGGGCTCACCTAACCTAGGCAGTACCTATCGCCACGGATAATATTTCTAAAATGGCCTTTTTATTTTATTGTTACGTTATCCCACCCCTTTGCCCTGGGGGAAAAATATCGTAATCATATCTTGGAAACAAAACTTAGAATTAGAATTAAAACAGAACTTGTGCCTTTTGGTTTGGCCTCAGGTACCAAATGGGCACAGATGACCTTTACTGCAAATCAAAATCTGACAGAGGTTTGGCATAATGAGATAAAATGAGTAAGTTTTACTTTGTATTTTTCCTTTATTTTTCCTTTGATTCTACGGCACTTTGACTCTAGACAGATGTCATGGATTTACTGACACCTCAAAGCACAGAAAGTCTTAAGGAGAGTCTCTCTCTGCTGTACCGATCAAACTGCCAGCAACGGTAAGGAAAGGGGGCATTGGTACCTTTTACCTTTGAGTCTAGTAAACCCTGGTAATATGATTTGAATTTGAATTTGAAATTACATGGTTCTTAGCAAAGTTTTATCTCAGTTTCTCAGAGAACATACATTATGTTAGCAGCGCTAGTGACAAGAACAGAGATTCAAACTGGACGATGATTGAGATGGGAAGTTAAACAAAGTGGCTGGTCTTCCTGACTTTTGCTTGAGTCCAGGAGTCCTGTGCACATGTCCGTGGACTGGTGCAGCAAAGGGGACACATGTGACAACACAGTGATTAGAAGGAAAAAAAAAACCCAAAGCATGAATGCCACCTCCAAGAAACCAGGCTGGTAAAAGGATCCCGTTCTGGAGTGTTTGTTCCTGAAAGATGGCTTAATAGAATCTTTTCTCTCTCAGCTAAAACAAATACAACACCCAGCTTGGTCTGGGTGTTGTGTTTGCTTTCAGTAATGAATCTAGCCGCATTTTCAAAGCTGGTCAAAACACATTCTCCTTTTAAACATACACCCCAAAATGGGTAGAAGCAAAAATGCCCCTCCCATCAAAAGGTTCCACATAACTAAAGAAAAATGTCATTTTGTTAGTAGTTCCCAAGGAGTTTTGAAATAAACATACATTTTTTTGCCCACTAATGCACATCTTTCTCTCACCCATTCCATGTCAAGGGCTAATAGCACAGCCAGAGGCATCCTCAAAACACAGCATGACCGTCTTCTACAGAACGACCACCAGGGGGCAACCTACTCCAATCCATCCAGATTGACCTACCTGTGCCCTTTGTTTCTCCCTAATTTTTACTTCCTTTTCAATTAACTTCTGCCTCTGGCTAGTTTCTTCCTGCAGTCGTTTTTCCAGGAGTTCTCGGCGTCGTTTTTCTTCTTCCAGAGCTCGCTTCTTGGCTTCCATTTCGCGTTCCTAAATATCATTTTGCAGAACGATTTTTCAGACATACTGGCTACATACCTGAATGATTCCAACTAATATATACAGAAAAATAATTCTCACTAGACAATTCCTGGCTTTAAAGCCTAAGCTCTTACATTATAGAACCAAGATTAAAACATCCGTAATCACCTCTCACATAGCTCCCAAAGTCATCCAATGTAGAAATGCAGCCACTACCCTTAACTAACAATTGAATATTAAGTGAAAACCCAGCTGGTGACTATATTCAGTCATTTCATACTAATGACCACAACTCTCCCATTTTTAATTTTAAAAAGCCTCGCTAATTGTGACCCAACACTAGTCATGACATTTAGCCTTTCTTTTGATGGCTGTCTTTTTTTCTTTTTCCAATGGAGGCACTAGGGATGGAACCCAGGACCTCGTGCACGCTAAGCAGGCATGCTACCACTGAGCTACACCCGCCCCCACGATGGCCATCTTCTAACTGAAGGCCATGGGTCCTTCCAATTCCTGTTGTTGCTCTGTGGCTTCCTGGCTGAAGGCTGCAGAGGAAGCACACAGGGAAGTTAGAAGAGGAAAGGAGGTGCCCTTTTAGGCAGGATGCACAGGCATTTGGGGGGATTCCTAAGGAAGTTCAGTTGCTGGCCTGAAATACAGTCACAATGACATGGGATTTTAATATCCCAATAGTGTAGTTACTGCAGGCTGACAAGGCAGGGAGGACGCAAAGAGACACAACATTCCTCCTACCCCTTGGCAGGCCAAAAAGTGGCCACTGGAGGGAAGATACCACACAAAACACTCATTTCAGTTTCTGTCCACACTACATGTATTTCACACTATGAGAAATGGTAGTGCGGTAAAGAGCCTCAGACATCATCCCTCCAACCCCCTTACTTTACAGATGAGAAAATGAGGCCAAGAAAGGTTGAGTGACTCCTCCAAGATCACACTGCTTATCGAGGCCTGAGGGCAGTTCCCCAATGTCAAGTGCAGGGCATCCTGAACCACCACATCACCGGCCCCTGGCATACAGACATCAGGCCTACCCTGGATTCAAGCAGCCTGGTCTTCTCCGCATGAGCCTGCTTCAGAAGTCTCTCCATTTCTTCTATCCGGGCAATGTTCGAAGTGCTGGCACTGAAGAAAACACAAAAGCCTTTTAAGGATATAGCTTCTGACTGCTGTCTCTTCACACACACACTCACATTCACACACACACGGGTCCAGAAAGGTGTATGACAAAATCCAACACAATTTGAAAGATGTTACTTTACAAGAATCACTGGTCTGAGGAGGCGAGTCAATTCAGCTCTGAAAACTGTAGGTGAATCTAACTTAACTCAGCTTAGGCAACAAAAATACAGGCGAGGGAAATAACACCAAGTAAAGTGCTTTACTCATGAATAAACAAAAGCCAAACTTTATAAAGTGTGTTCTCAAAACGTTTCCTCCAAAGCCTGAAAGTTTTTGGCCCAAGGGAGGCTTTCCCATTAGTTTAATTATTCAGAGATGCCAGACCCAACTAAATCACCACCAAAGTTCTATGTCGATGGCCCCTAAGTTTGGAAGTCACTTTATTTGGTTTGGGAACAGGAGTCACCAGCTGCTTTTTCATTGAATCTTTATGCATGTGGACATTTTATTTCCTGAACGGTGTTTTTTTTTTCTCTTCAAAATGGCAATATATGTTTTATCGCAAAACTAAAATATGCTCATTTTTAGTAATGCACAAAAACATAACACACAAAAATCAAAGTACCACTAATCTTATCTTTCAGACCTAACTTCTCAGCAGTTTTTCTGTATGTCTGTTTACACCTATGAAATTTACTTCAGAAAATGGGATGAGACTATAACCCTCCAATCTGCCCTTTTTACATTAAAAACGTAATTTGAGTACTTTCATGTCATTAAATATAAATATAAATGTCTATTAAATGGTGATTTAAAATGGCCAATTAAAAAATGACTTCTCCTACAGGTGCATGAGGAGGGTGGTGGCCAGTTTTGCCAGTTAAGCCCACTCACCATGCCAGTGAAGAAACTGCATTCAGGGATCCAAAGGCTTTAAGAGAAATGCATCTTGAGAAAGATGTCACATAGACAAGTGAAGGAAAAAGCCAAGGGGAGTGAGAGCTGCAAGAACAGTTAGGGCTACTAAAAGAGAAAGAGGAGAATTTGGAAATGCTGAGCACTAAACAAAATATTTTATATTTCACTTGTTTACATTTTATTTGACTATTTTGGAAAAAAAGGACCATAGCCTGGGTCAAAATTATTTATTCTGATGTTGCAGCCACAGAGAACCAATGTTGTTTCTTACACATGTACACTTGCCTAGTCACTTAAATATATGCTTTCTTTTCTAGACTCTCTTGGGTACAGAGAGGCTTTTGTCCCTGTATCCTCCATAGCACAGAGCCTGGCACATACAGGAGGGTTCATGTTTGCTATACCCATTCATATAAAAAATAATTCAAATAAAATGAATAAGATAATTGTTGTATAGTCAGTCTCCCAAAATCATATTGTTGATCACCTCAAACCTAGGGTATTTCAGACACAGGGCTAAGAGTTCTTCTAAAGAGATAAATGACCACAGTAACACAGGACATATGGTTTATCTTAAAATCAGTATTGTGCATGCAGATGTTTACAGCAGCTTTATTCATAAATGCCAAACCTGGAAGCAACCAAGATATCCTTTTGTAGGTAAATGGATAAATAAATTGTAGTACATCCAGACTATGGAATGTTATTCAGCACTAAAAAGAAATGAGCTATAAAGCCATGAAAAGACAGGAAAGAACCTTAAATGTATATTATTAAGTGAAAGAAGTCAATCTGGAAAGGCTAAATATTTTATGACTCCAATTATATGACATTCTGGAAAAGAAAAAACTATGGAGACAGTAAAAAGATTAGTGGTTGCCCATAGTTTGAAGTGAGGGGTGGGAAGGGAGAGATGGACGAGCAGACAGAGCACAGAGGATTCTTAGGGCAATGGAAATACTCTGTATGATACTATAATGATGGATACACCACATTATACATTTGTCCAAATCCGTAGACAGTACAACACCAAGAGTGAACTCTACATAAACTATGGACTTTAGGTGATAGTGATGTGCCAGTGTAGGTTCATTAATTGTAACAAATGTACCACTCTGGTGGGGGATGGTGATAATGGGGAGGCTATGCATGTGTGGGCACAGGGGGTATGTGGGAAATCTCTGTACCTTCAATTTTGCTGTGAACCTAAAACTGTTTAAAAAAATTAAGTTAAAAAAAAATCAGTACTGCCAGCCTCATTACAAAAAGCATCCGTCAAGGAGAGGGACAGCCTTAGTAACGCTGACTCCATAGAGGCTTAACAACTAGGCTGCACTCTGCAGGGTTATCTTGGGCCAATTTTTAGACAGGTGTTTTCTTCTGAGAAAGACATGGACAAGGCAATTTATTTCTCATACTTCCATGAGCTGTTGGGGGACGTACGAAAGGATAAGTTCTGTTCTCTTCAACCAGCAAGGATTAAGGGGAAAAAACTAATTTCTGTGCAGCAATTTGCATTTCCCTTTATTGAGACTACCTGACCTCATGGTTGGAAAGGGGACAAATTCCATCAGCTCAACTGAGAAAGCCTAAGACAACATGCAGGTCATTCAATAGCACAGGACACGTTTATGTTCTGTAGTGTCGTCTGTGACATCTCATATATACATATATGGCTTATGACTCCAATTAATTTAGAAATAAATAATTAGAGTTTCACTAAGTCTCAGGTCTTAAAAAACAATTAAAAAAACAAAACACTCACTGATACGCTAACTCCCATCTGCCCCTTGGTTCTTTCTATGACACCCCCATTATTCATCTAGCTTGTGCCTGAATGTTGTTACAAGAAACTCACTGTGCCTGTTCCTCCATTGTATGGACAGCATCGTTAGAATACTGATACTCACGCGGAATCAAAAATCTGTCTTCCAACAGCTTCCATTCACTGGCCTAAGTATGATGTTGAGGCCATAGGAAGCCAATCCAGATGAACTGGTTGGAAATAACTTGGTTAGAAATAAATATTTCAGTACATGTTTTTTCATATACGTGTTATTGGGGCATATCTGGGGCAAGTTTTCAAATATTTATCCATCTTTAAATATTTCTGTTCATGTTTTGAGAATTTTTCAGGGTGTTTTCTATTTATTTGATAATATTTCCAGTTAATTCTCTGCCAATTATACTCAATCTGCTTATTTGGCAATGCTTCCATAAATGTCTTAATTTTTTTCCCAAATGATCTGAATTTTCTGAAAACAGTTGATAGAAAGTACATGTCTACATTTCTTCATAACTTCATACCTTTTAAGCACCTGAAGTCACTTAAAAAATTATACCTTCTATACTTAAAAGCTACTTTGGTTATTTTGTTAAAAAACTTAATTTTTATCTATGGACACCTACTTACCTACTTGTTCTCTACACCTACACTTTTGCTACTGTTGATCTTAATATTTCCTTGACATGTAAACCACTTTTACTCGGCAAAACTTTTGCTGCTCTACGATGCTACGTTGCCACTATCTGATGCTTTTTGGGGAGTCAGAGTTGCACCTGCAGCGAAAAGTAAATGGGACTGCAACAGGAACTTAGGGAGAAGTCTAGGCTTGTCAATACCATGGCCTGTGAACAAAGGAAATGCCGTTTGGCTCGCACCTCCCGTGCAAAGCAAGAGCTGGAAGTCGCTGAAGATACACTGTGTGATGCATTCATTACCTGTAGCACAAGACACTCATAGTTACTTTCTCCAGCCCATCCAGATAACAAAAGGAGTAATGCTTCCTTCCATTGCTCCAACTTCTGACCTTCTTCAAAAGACAGGCACACATTTCTGATCACGTATGTGAGCGCTGATACTGAATCACTTGGCCATTAATGGTCTAAAGATAATTAGTTTTGCCTACCTTCTCTACTCAGCCAATGTTCTATTTTATCAACTGACGATTACTTTTTGATGTGACCAACTTTGGTAAAAACCATAGCCCTAAAGAAAAACAAAACTTCACTCAAGGGAAAAGAAATCTAAATAGCGGATTTAGTTTTCAGCGCTGGGTAATATCTTTCAGCAAAATCTGAATTGCCTTTTAGAATACTCACTTTAGAGGCAAAGGCAAAAACAGGAAAAGGAAGGAAAAAAGCAAACAAGAACAGTCATACAACAAATAAATAAATAAGGAAAATGTAAAGCCTGCAGCAAAACAAAATCCTCCATACAGTTGTAAACCTTCTCCCAGACTGCCTTCAGTGCACCAGTTTGCCACTGAATGAAGAGCCAGTGTCCCAGACCATCAATTTTCAACTCATCTTCTCAAGTACTTTTTCAGGCTACGCAAATCATTGCTCCTTATAAAACGTCTAATCTCTCTCTAGTCAGTAGACTATCTGGTCCCTTTGACAGTTAGCTGCCCTCCTCTGAAGTTCTCCGGCTTTCTGTATCTCTTCTGAAAGAATGCCCTAGAATAAAACGCAAACACTGGGTTTTGACTCCCTAGAAAGAATACAAATCTTTGCCTAAAAGGAAAAGATTAGAAGTACCTGAAACCCTGGTTGAAGTATCTCTTAAAACCAAGCTCAGCCCCGAATGCCCTCAACCCCATACCCAGTCCTGTCCCCATTCCACACACAAGCTGCTGGTAGGTAACAGTTTAAAGAGAGACCAACTTCCTCAGTATCTTCTCGGAGCACGACCACAAGGTCAGGGCTCAACAGCAGTGCTAATGATATCGTATTGTTGCAGGTGGGATTCAGAACACAACACTCTTGAGCTAATTCAGTCATGTTAGCAAAATGGAGACTTTAAGCAGAATTGACGTTCAGTTGCTGTTTTCTAAGACCCAAGACCTTTTTTCTTAGCTTTATGATTGCGTACAGTGTAAGTAATGATGCTGAAAAAGCAAAAACACTGTGTGACTCAAGTAACTTTCTGGTAGACACAAAAATGATGTCTCAACAAAAAGTGAAAGGCAAAGGTACCCACAACTCTGAGTAATTCTGTAGGTCTACCAGTAGCTCTTTGTGACCTAATAAACCACAAGACTAAGTTTGTGTTGCTAGAATTTCAGCATGGAATTACCTCTTTAAAACACGTATTATTTCAGGATATTTTAATACATAATTTTAAAAAATCTTAGAAAGAGGAAATTTTTTAGTTTTATTTCTTTCTACTTATCTTCAAAAAGTTCCCATTAAGAATGTGCTGTCCTAACACACATTCGAAACATTAGCTTCTTACTACCCACTTCCCTGATGTTTGTCACATTAATTCCCATCATAAAAATGGGTACAAGCTTATCTTAGGGCAGCATGAACGTTTTTTAGGTAAATGGTGGCACAGAAGAGAAATGCTTGTTTTTCTTCTTTCTCCCTTTTATTTAAACTAGACCTTTTACAGGCATCTTCCACTTTGGCTTCAATTTTTGGACATTCAGAGAATCTGTCGGCATGTTTCAAGTAATACTATTAGTAATTTCTGACCACGGTGATTGATTTTCTATGACTGCTAGTAGCACTGGGTCACGCGTGTGAAGAACTATGCAAAGTGATCGTGCTGGAATTTAATACTACATTGTAAGTCAATTATACTTCAATAAAAAAATAAATTGGGGGAAAGAAAGAAAATGACCACATGTAGCTACCTGCCAGGAAAGACCACTCTGCAATAATGCTGTCCTCTTAACAAGGCACATTCACTGGGGTCATTCTCATTTTCTATCTTTGGAAAACATTTAAAGAAAAAGTAAATGGGTAAGCAGATAAAAATAAGTTAAGATTTTGCTGGCCACTGTGCTTACTTAGTCTCTAGATCTAAACGTCTAACGTTTGGTAAAGCTAATTGAAGTGGTCCCTTTCTAGGCAATTTCCTGTACTCACTGCTGCAGTGGGTCTGGGGAGTGATCATTTAGAGGGACGTGTATTTACTTTTGATTTCTGGAGAGGTTGAAGAGGCGGGAGCAGATAATGGAGAGAGAAAACCACGATGATAGGAAAACATATAGAATGTACTCACTTATTAAAGATGGCTCAAAAATAGGAAAAAAAGGTCAAGCTATCAAGAGTTCACCACAGGGATACTATTATAAAATGTTCAAAATCATTTGGGAAGAGGGGAGAGTAGTCGGATGCTTTCAAAATAACAACTTTCCAAAGCGCAAAGTGCCTAAGAACCCGGAAGTCCCTCTGAGATCACTACCCTGGGAACGGGACGGCTGCGTGCTCTGCTCCCCTAACGTCAACTTTGTTCCTCCCGTCATCATTTTATAATAGTTGCTGGGCTGCTGACTTTCGTCTGCATCCTGTTATTCAAAAGTAGCAGGTCCATTCGGTCGGTTTACTGCCATTTGTGAGTAACCCCTCAAGGCCTCCGCGGCCGGCCCGCGGGCGGCTCTCAGACCCCTCGCGGGAGCAGCGCACGGCCCGGCCCGAGCGCTCGCAGTGCCGCCGGCGGTCTGACGCCCAACATGAAAACGGCTCCCTTTCGGGCGTTGTTGTCAAATGTAGCGAAACAGAGCAGAGGAGAAAATGGATTAGTCACATGGGATACACAGAAACTACTTTCAAAGGCCACCATGATAGTCAACCTTCTTCTATATCGTAGACTCTTTATGCTCTGAAATTTGGGCTTGTACATATGCATTGTCCCAAACTGATGGCTTTACTTTTTGAAACCAGTAGGTGCTTTTCCAAACCAGAAACCTTTCCCAGGAATACATCTTACCTAGAGATATTGTCAGGTGAGCAGGCAGAGATGCTGGTCTCCATGCTATCAGAGCTGTCTAGGCTCAGCGTGTCAAAGGCCTGGTCCTTGTAGCTGTGATCTGGGTAGTGGAAACTGTTCAAGTAGACATTTGATTCGGATGCTGTGCGGTTGTAAAATTCAGAAGACTTCTGCCTTTGTCCCTCACTCATCTGTTGGTGATTATATCCTAAGGAAAGAGCCATAAATATGTTACTATGCCTCATTTTTCAGTCTTAGATCTTCTAAGACATAAGCCAGCAACCCAAAACATCTGCCTATGAAACTGGGGCCTTGGTCTAATTTGTTTTGAAGCCAAAAAGATCAAAGAGACAGCATCACGCTCAGTGCAAGCAAGAGTTTCCCAGAACTGGCCTTGTGAATGATGGTCTTTGTCAGCGGGTCACTTGACACTGCTGTGCCATTTCCACTTCTCAGTACAACCGAGGATAATATATCAGCACACACACACACCCAGAACATGATTAAAGGCCCCGAATCCTCTAGAAATAGCTGAGTTTAAGTGAATCAAGATGACTCCTCATGACAAGCAACACCAGGGTCTTAGGGAAGTCATTTCTTCAGTGGTGTTCCAACTTAAGGGCTACTCAATCTGGTCACAAAACAGAAGCTGGACCATCTAGGTATAGGATTTGAGAAACGCGCATGTCACTCCTATCATCACGAACACTTGTAGTCTGGTTAAGATTGCAAACTGCACATTTTTCTCATTCTTCCCCCCCCCCCAATTTGCCTTGTCTGCCAATTACCTTATGTAAGACATGCAGAGTCCATAACCCTTCCAATGGCTGTGGTCCTCCTAATTACCACATATATGGCTTTCTTTTTTTTCCACCTTAACCGTCAGCCTTTGGCTAGTTGGTGGTATCAACCATATGAAAATGTAGGGATCACATTAATAGGAGCAAAAGTACCATAAGTAAGAGGGGTTTTCCTTACCCTGTACCTGGTCAGCTGGCATGTCGGTCATTTGTGTTATTGCTATGGCTTGCTCTCTGGTAGCTGATTTTGGGCATCACACACTGAATTATTCTTCCTTTTGATTCTCTATTTATCATGTACTCAGGAATCAGGGATCATACTGATAAATAAATCCCTTGATTCATTAAAAAGATGTTTCTTTAGCCGGTACCATAGTTTGCAATCAAATCAAATCTGATCAAATTTCCTACTAGACTATTATTAAGAGCTTACAATTGGACCATCTGAATTTTCCGTTTTCTTGTGCTCAATCTACCTCTCAATGAGGCTTTTAATTAGTAATGAAATGGTCAAAAAGAAGGCCAGAGGGCAAAAGAAGACAAGTGATTCCAAACAACTTCCTCAGCTGTTGACTAATATTTCCATTTAAAAACAGAAGCCAAATCCATGATGCTTTAACAAAGCATTATAAACCAAAACTAAAACTGTAAGATGATTTTAGTTCCATGAGGAATTTGCATGCCGTTCGTATTTTGGAGTAGTTTTAGATTATCTACGTGAAAATGTTAGTACAGATTAAGGCACTTCTGGGAAAATAAGTTTCCTTAATATAAAATGTAATTATAAATGATAAACAAACACCCATACGCAAAAACTACATATCACTTTGCTCAGGAAACATGCAAAACGTGAAAGCACACCATGAGACTTCAGAGAGCATGTCATTAATTGCAATGATTAATGCATAAAGCATCACATGAAGCCAGTGCATTCATAAGCGTGGAGCATGTGCCTTTTTTTCCCCTTAAGAATGGCAAAATAATTCAATATTCAAATATTTACCTTTGATACTTGAACTTTTGGAATTACTAACTGCTCCTTTTAAATTGTTTCCAATTATTCATCATGGAAAAAGGGGGGACAAGAAAAACACACCAGAAATTATTTGAAAAGGTCATACACATATCTTTCCTTATGCTTTCCAAAAAGGCTTGTTGGCAAAGAAAACCTCACACTGGCACTAATGACATGAGAGACATGTCCTTGTTTTAGTATGAAAAACAAATCCCTAAAGGATAGCCCTATAATTAAAAACATGCAAGAATTATCTCCTGGGCAATGACATGTGCCAAACCTCCCTTCCCTTCAGTTTTTCACAATGAGGAAAAGTCAGTTCCTACAACACAACGAACACTTTCTGGAAAAGCAGAAAAGAGAGTGAATATATTTCTTCTTAAAACAACTGTATGCCCTGCTCCTCATATCTTCCAGGAATTTTTTTTGTCCCAAAAGTATCACAAAATAAGAAAATGAACTTACCACCTTCATGAGAAGTAGACAGTGAACTAAAACGGCACCAATGTTTTGGATGTGGGCACAAGGGACAGCCGTGTTACAATGTGTACCGTGCTAAGGACTGTGACCCTAAATCCCCTAGGTCACCTCCTCTGTGTTTCACTGTATTTCGCTGCTCTCAGTCTGAGGGAACCTTTCATCATTCCGGTGGTAGGAAGAACACCTTGCGTTTTCATGGCAACCTGAATGCAAAGTGCTGCTGCTAACAAGCAGCTTTCCCAAAGCAGGACTTTTGCTTCCTGTGGACCCAAGTGTGTGGGAACGTCCATCTTATGAGCTGCTCCCTTCCCCTTACCGGCAACACTCAACTGATCACGATGAACTCAGCTGTCACCTGGCTGAGCCTCCTCCCTCCTGAACAATCCCCCCCAAAAACAAGTTACTTCTGCAATTACAAACGAGGGCATGGGCCTCCTCCTTGGGACCCCAGAATTGCACCAGTGTGACTCATAAGAGCTGGCTTTAGGATCCAGGCTCTGTCCTGGCCCTTTAAAGAGACAGATATTTTCAACAAAAAAACCCTGCAGGAGAGCAGGATTCTGGGGGAGGGTTCCCTGGTAGGGGCCCAGGAAGAGCTGCTGGTGCAGTAAGGTAGCATCAGTACCGTTGTGAGCTGATTAAGCCTCCACTCAAGATAAGTTATCAGGGAGGGGGACATGTGTATCCTGTTCACCCCCATTTGCTTGGGATTCAGATGTCACAAAATTAAAGACTCACTGAATGTATTCACTTGTTCATCTGTAAATTCTAACCATGTTAGTGGCTAAATAAGGACATAGAATGCATCTAGTGTTTGGGGTGGGGCAAAGCAAGGGGGTTGGAAAAAAACCTGAGACTTTCTCAAATCCTTGAGACTGCTTGGTTTTTGTTTTTGTTTCAAAATTATGTAGCAAGAATAACATTCAGCAGTGGGACAGCAACTAAAAAGGAAAAAAGGCCTTGTAAATGTTCTAAATCCTTCCTATCCAGGCAGAAATGTCTGTCTGAATGCAGTATTTTATAGGCTTTATAAAGTGAGACCTGATAATATCTGAGGCTGGTCGCTAAGCACAGCACAAACATGGAACCCAAGCCAGTTCAACTCTCTTCACTGCCCTGGAAGAGCCAACAGATTGGCTGTGCAAAGCCCATTTGTCATTATTTTTCAAAATGCTCGTCTTTATGAATTCTAGCTAATTGGATCTGAAAAGTCCTTTGTGAGTTAACCATTGTGGGATACATAATCTCACCAGTATTTTCCAAGTGTGTGTTATAGACCTTCAAATGGTTATCTGGGTCTTAATACAGAAAATTAGATGACCAAATTATAATCTGGTTTGAGAGGATAAAATTAATGGGTACTTCCGACCATTTCTCACCTGCTGAGAAATTCATTCTTCCTACCCATAGTCCACAGCCGGAAGACGAAGGCGCAGGACAAGTCAGGAATGAGGAGGATGACAGTGGAAGGGAAAAAGATACAAGATCAGAAAGGATGACAAAGGGATAGGAAAACAGACACTTCTGCATGCAGTCGTTGATGGGGTCAGTCACAAGACCAGCTTGACGAGGTAAGACGTTCACAGTTTTAGATTAAATCTGAGTTTACAGAGAAGAACTCAAGAAGTTAAAACAACAAAAGTAAGCTTATGGAACATGCACACAGTCAAAAACGAGAAAACCTTTCGTACACATGGGTCAACTAGGAAACAGGGAGACTAAAGACAAGATTCTATCTATGAAACAGTTCTTTTTGCTGAGAGGACATTAACAGACAGTTTTTAAGAGCCAAGGTTTGCAACATGCCATTCAATTATTCGAAGCACAATCCATCAAACTTTACAAGTCAGTCCTGTAACATCCTCCGTCTCTATCACCCGGCCACGTAAGAAGCGTCTTATTTATTCCAGCCAGACATTTAGACTGCTCTTCACTCTCTGCTGAATCTTTCCTATAAAACTGGCTTAAATGGAATGAATAAGTTGGAGCCTCCTAAATCCTTCCATCCTCCCATGTAGCCTCCTTATTTACACCTGGCCTTTATAAAGGAGAAACATCCTGTTTGACACTTAGCCGACAAACATCACAAGGCCCGCTCTTTCTTCATCTAGATCCTGAGTCTTACAAAACAATGCTTCTGAAGCACTCGTGTTTCCTGCATGGTCTGACCTTGCAATAAAAAAACAAAACAAAGAGGGTCGTGCAGCTGCCCATGAATGAACGGCAGCTGCGCCCAGCATTGTGTTTCTAGCAAATGGGCAACAATTTTCCTCTATTGTGTAAAAGGGATAATCATTAGACTGAAAAATACACCATTGTACAGTTTTAAATCTGATCACTTCTTAAAGATGACTTGACAATGACCTTTCACTATTTGCTGGAAACAAAAACACCACACAGGGAGGTTGTCATACCTTTCTTGGACTTTCCTGCATTGAACAGAAGACAAAAGGACAAAGATTTCATTCATTCTAAAGCTTACAGAGGAATAGTTCACAAGTTGTACAAAAGCCAATAACCATTACAACTTTAAGAGCTGAGTTCCTGGGCTCTCTGCTTGAAACCTGCTCTCAGAGATCTTTGTCGGCAGGATCACGTTGTCAGTTCTACTAAAACAGTGCTGACGGAAGGAAGGCTGATACTTACACCATTGTCCTTGATGTGTCCATTACGAATAAGCAGCAAAAGAATAGTTCATTTCAGTTAATTGTGCAAGTCATAAAATGGTTAAGATTTATTTCACTTGAGTTAATGAAAATGTGCGAGGTCCAGTTTGTTTCAAAGCCATGAAATTTTACTTGGCGCTTGCTAGTTGAATGAAGCCAACACGTGCTAGTGAAACAATTCTAAATGAAATTATCATTCATCTTCCTTGGTCCTTGTGGGCCAGCTGTATGGGCCTGGTAGAAAATCCCACCAATTTGATGGTCTGTTTTAACTCAAAAAACTGCAGTTCCCAACTGCTCCTCCTCTGGGTGGGGGAGTCAAGGGTGGCAGGCTGGCCTCACAAGATATTTACATCACATCCCCTTGGATCAACACATACATGATGGTTCTCTGTTTACTGGGAAGCTGTCTCATCAGCACCACATGGAACGCTTTAAGAGGAACACCACTTAGAGCTGCAGCAGGGAAAGACTGAGGCTGCAGACCTCTCAGATGGATAAAAGACCTACCAGTGAAGAAGAGAGCACGAAAGCTAAGTCAAAGACAACAGATTTCCCAGAGGGTATGTCTGTCCCTAATGCGACCTAAGGAATTGTCTCAGTTTTTCTCCATGAACCTAACATGAGGATTTCTATTATTTAAGGGAAAAACAAATTAGAAAAATAGAGATCAAACATCCCTTCTATTTCACTACATCTCACAAGAATCCTCTTACATGATACTGTTAACAACTCGATTTTTACAAATCTATCCATTTGGTATAAAAGTCTAGTTTTTCTTACTCTCTACGGAAATGCTTTCAACATAAATATGGCATAGTGGCTAACCCAAACTTTGTTGCCTTCAGCCAGAGGGAAAATTTACTTAAAAAGAAGTTTATAAATATCACAGAAGAATGCCTTAACAGAAAACAGACTTGACCCACAAGTGAACAGTTATAAGTGAGAGCCAAAAAATAATCATTTGTTTATTATTTATAAACTATAAGATTTATTTTTAGCTTATTAAGAAATTATGAAAAAATAAAGGAGAAGTTCACTCAAGTGTATTTTATTCAAATGTTAACACTGTGAACCTCTCACACATTATAAACCACGTGTATGAATACCATGGCCTCTGTTAGCTCTTAAATCCCTTCTGGTGATGATGAAAGCCTCACTCAAGTGACATATATATTCCACTTATCCACACACATATACACATTGTATATACACACCATTAATTATACGTACACTAATAATTACACATTATTTCTCATGGTATCAGTGATTACTCCCTGGTGACATTAGTAAAGAGGCCGAGCAGTCCGAGCTGAATCCCAGCCTGCTTGGAGGGAAGGGTATGAATCCCACTAACGAATGTGCTGAGAGGCCACTGCTGGCATCCCCCTTCACATCCTGGGCAAACCTCCATCATTGCATTTACACAGTTTACTGAAATCGTATGTTTTGTGTCTCTCTTCCTCATGAGACTATAAGTATGTCAAGGGCAAGGATCATGTTATTTATGTGCATTCTTGCTATCTAGCACTGCGCTTGTTCAAAAGTCAGGGCCAATATAAGTTGACCTAAACTTTACTATGTTAACACAATAAATCGAATCCTCTCAATGAGAACCTCACCTCTGGAATTGCATTATAGCATTTTCTTCTAGTCCCACAAAGACTACTTGAAAAATGCAATGTACTATTACAAAGAAATAGACTATGCTGAGAGTCCAAAACTACCTGAAACCTAACATCCACATAGAATGAAAGCTCGGTCCACATTAAAAGCCCTCTGGGAAGTTTGTCCTGGGCCACTGGTGCTCTGTGTCAGCTCAGTGAGCCTTTAGCAGGGGTGAAACAGAGTGGCTCAGCCACAAACCAGGGCAGTGACTCAGTTAAGTGCCCTGGGAATCTCTTAGGACGTCAGCGGTCTCTTTTTAGTTTCTCCCAATCAAATACAAAGGTTAGTAACTCTCTAGGGGCCTTTCTTATCTGAGAATTCCATTGAATTTATTAAGTACAATGGGTATGTTTAAAATGTACCAGCCACATGTATATGTGGGAAAAGTCATCTTAGGACAATAAGGAGTATATATATATACACACACCCCTCCCCAAAGGGGATACATGAAGAGTAAAGTTGAGAACTGTGGTTGATTCCCTCTCTAATGACCCCCAACTCTGCTCCGACTCACTCTCCCTAAGGAACTCTAGTGCCTGACAAAGGACATGACACTCAGTTTAAAAGGTACATACATACCTCTGAGCATCCTCCGAGATTCTGAGTCTTTGGTCATGGTTGCCAGGGAGTGGGGGAGCACGCTCCCACAGCTGTTGCTTTGTCCCAGGGGCAGGTGGCCCTGTGAAAACCAGGGAAATAATTCAGGCAAACCGCAGGCCCAGTGGTCCTTCCGGACATGGTCACATCGCTGTTTCCACAGCTCCTATCTCGGTACAGAGGGCAGGGAAGGTAAGGCTCTGCATCCCGTGTGTTGATGTCCCTCCCCAGGAGCTCCACGGCAGTTTCAACATCACAGCCATTCCTCCAGTGGCAGCAATTCCCAGACTGAAGACAGATGGGGGAAACACTGTCCAAAACCACCTTAGAGAACAACTCAAAGTCCTTCATGCATGAGGAGCAGAGGGCAGATGCAGGGTCAAGAACGCATGCACGTCATGCACAAGGACAGAAAAGATCTACACTCGTTACAAGGGCACCAATTTCCATCCACTCCTAGTTATCAAGTGGACTGACAACTGGAGAAACCTATTAATTACTCCTGTGGTTTTAGCAATCTTTTAAAATAGCAAAATCCTTAGTGTAAAATATACCTGGAATGCAAATTTATAAAATAGATGGAAACAAAGTTACTCTGATTAAGGGCAAGGGAAGGATCCCAGAGTCTGTCCCACTCAGGACCTCCTTCTCAGTTTCCCTTCCCCTCTTCCTGCAATGACCCCTGGGCAAGTTAGCAGAACAGAAGTGAAGGCGACTCAGGCATCACACCTCAAGGGTTCACATTCTTGCGTCAGTGCCACCAGCTGAGGGCACGGGGGCCAGCCACGTGGCTTCTCTCCACCTGGGTTTACCCACGTGCACAATGGGGATGATGATAATTAGTACTTTCACTGCATAGTGCTGTTGGGTTTTAAAATAAAACAATCCACATAAAAGGCTTGGCCCAGTGTCAGGCTCAAAGAAATAACTCAGTAAGTATTTGCTGCTATTATTCCTGGGATCCAGCGCTTATATCCCCCAATTTCCAGATCTGGGATGCAGCTATGGGAGTGTGTCACGGAAGTGAATGCTACTCACCACTCGTGTGGTGGTGTGAGGAAACGCCCTGGACCAGGTAGGTGCTTTGGTACCAGAGTGTATATTTCAAATGTCCTCTGAATGGGTAGGAAATGCAATTTAATTACGATGTCTGCCCAATAAGCAAACTTACTGGTTCATTATTTAGCATTTTCTTTAAGGGCCTTTGCACATCAGTCAACAAGAGGACAAATGGACTCAGTGAAGGTGAAGCCCGTGGTTCTCCCCATGTCCTACCTTCGGGGCGGTGCTCCTCCCCATAGTAGCACTGCTGAAATGTGGGGATATGGAAGGGGTGCTTTTCTTTCGAGGCAAAGTGTCACTCAGATAGAGGCCTTCTTGATGCTGTTTTTTCCTTTCTTCCAGACTTCTAAAGTGCTTTAAATGCAAATGTAAAGCAGAATAGCACAGCTTGACTAACTGAAACAGGTCACTGAGGAAATTAGGAAGTATGCATTTACAAGGAAGCTTTGGAACTTTAACACAAAATTAAAAAAAATTATTCAGCTTATACTTGTGTTCACTAAGAGACCTGGGCTAGCATTTGGTGAGATACATGGATACTGGAGGAATCTACTACTGAACCTAGAAAACTTTTTTTAAAAATCCACCTGCCCCTTTCACAGTAGTGCCTGCTGCCTTGGGGCCTCAGGACAACTTACAAATTATTATGATGGTTGCCATGTGGATGGCGGAACAGCCAGTGGACAAAGCAAGTAAGCAGTTTCTCCCCTTGTCTGTCTGGACAGTGCTGTGTGATGGCACAGATCCCAGTGTGAGGAGAACACGAAAAGGGAGAAGAAAGAAGACGGAGAGAAAGAGTAAACAGGGAAGTTGCTTTAAAGTTGGAATCATATCTCAATCACATAAACACACTCCAATCCCCATAATGTTTCCATGTAAGGCATCCTTCTCGATTTAAAAAAGATCCTGGCCAAGGAGCCCCTATTGCAATCCCTCGCACTGAAAAATCCTCCTGTTGATGATTTCATTTTTTTTTTCTTCAGATTCCTAAGGCAAAATTTTGGCCAACTTGAAACTTCTCCAAAGTTTTCTTGGCCTCCCCCAAAAATGTCTTTGATAGAAAAGTTACTTCCTAACTACAGATTCTTTCAGTTTGACCACTTTTATACCAAACACAGGCTTTTGAAATATGTCACAATGAGTTCAAATCTGAGTTATCAAATTTACTATCAATCTTCAAACATGCCAATCATGAAGAATATCTGCACTTTAACTTTACAATGATCTATTTATACCCGATATTTATGAACCTAAGAGTTGTGAGGAGATCAGTCTTTTAACAGAAGGTAACAGATAGTGAGGGTTCCTGCAGGAAAGGTATGGGCTGGGCATAGCAAGCCAGGGGGCGCCTACTTTGCGGGGGCTAATGACTGATCCCTGGGGCCAAATTCACATATGGATTTGATGATACTTGAAAGGAGTCTTAAAACAGATTTTTTCTGAATAGCCACACGTGAGTATGCACTGAATGCACTAAAAGGAGGGCAGGTTTGGAATAATAAATTATTTACTTCAAAATGTTAAAGCAGTTAAAAACCTGTTATTCTCTGGACCACATGCCCTGCTTGTGGTCGGACCCTGGACAAGCTACTTACCAACGCTGAGCCTCACTCAGTTCCCTAAACATCAATATGGAGATATTTCATACATCACGGGATTGTTGGAAGGAAGAAATGAGACACTGGCAAAATGTTTTGCAAATTTTGACTCGTAGCAGAGGAATGCTGTCTATTATTATGGCTTCAATAATGTATAAGGAAAATATTTTGTGTTGATACAGCAACTTTTTACACTGTGGACATTATGGAAATAATTATTATTTTGAAGAATACCCGAGGCAAGTTGCAATATTTTGGTTGAATGGGATCTGAAGCATGAGGATGTGAAGCTAGATCAAACATGCCAAACGCCAGGAGGGGACAATCAAAGTCTCAAACTTTCTAACAATCCCCACACTCTTAGGACATAATAAAAAATGTCCTTAGAAAAAAAAAAAGGAGTATGCACCTTGTTTTTTTAAAAACTACCTTTGGAAAAGTTGAAGAAGAGATTTCCCATAAGTAACTCTGTTGTGGAGATAACATTCCCACACTCTGACCGCCAGCTCCTAATTACCTGCTGCTCCTGCTGCTGCTGCCTCCTGTGTTTCTTAGCTGGTAGAGGAGGAGGTGTGTCATTTAAAGGGGAAGGATCGACAGATGTAGCCACGACTTCAGGCCAAGAGGCTGATGGAGGTTGAGTGATAGGATGAGGAGAAAGGGTGGAAGGAAACATAAATCCAGAACAGACAGGTGATCTTTGCTTTATAGGAGAAAGAAAAAGTATATATGTGTCCATATGAAATGAAAGATTAAGATAAAGAAATGAAATTGATAATATGATTGTTCTGTTTTCTTAAATGTTACCCACGAAGTCATAAATGATGGGCAGTATCTTTCAATTTAGCCTCTTGTTAAAATCCTACACTGTGAGCAACTTGAATCAGTACGAGGTGTTTTAATTTACTATCAACTGCCCCTGCCCACATGTTTTAAGGCAGCATAGCATTAAACAAACAAACAAAAAATCCATACTGCAAAACAAAACAGAAGATAAGATCAAACTGGAAAGGTGATTCAAACCAACAATTTTAGAAAGGCTTTGCGGTCTAAGAAAACTAGGTTGGGCTAAAGTGCTAATATGTAGTTTCTTTTCTGAGCTTACTTCTCCTGGTGCTGCACACTCTGTACCAAGTTTCCTGGTTTCCAGGATCATTGGTAGAGCACTACCCCCGAATTGGTCTGTTTCTCAAACTCAGCATCACCCTGGCCCTCTGGTCAACCAGACATGTCCTTGTCTCCCACACCCTCGTTTTCAGGTAACCGTGGGTTAATTTCTGACATGAGAAAAGCAGTGAACAAATGAAATGGCATGCCAACACACCTCTTTATTTTGTGGCTGGCTGACCAGCACAGCTGTGGTAGGCCCAGTGGCAACAGCGTCAGCGTCAGCAGGGAACTGAGTGGAAGGAGAGAGATTCGTGGAATTGCCACATGGCTCATTAATTTCATTTACAATGATATAGCCCTAAAAGGAGGAATGCAGAAGTTAAACACAAGGAAAGCAAGAGCTGAGGCATGCGAGAGTATTAATGGTCCCAGTACAATGGAGTTAGCTCAGAGCGGCACAGCCTGGTCTCTGTGGTATTATCAAATGTTTCATTAAGGCAATCATGAGCAATTAAAATGGATTTATGGTGCTTAATCTTGAAAATGACATTTCAAACACTAAAAGTAAAATTTCAGGTGAAATCAAAATGACTCTATTGTAAATAGCTTTGATTTAAAAATATCCATCAGTATCAGCATTCATTCCGTTGACTGAATAAGGTTGTTACTACACAGCATTTACAACAATCGCAGGCAAAATAATTCCAAGATATAAAATCGACAATGCAATCACTCTCTAATTCAAGAGGCTTTTCCACAAATCTTTATTCCTAGATTCTCCCCTCTACTGCTCCCTGACAAATCAGAGAGTGAAGAAATGTACACTACTGGTTCTTGGGTTTTGCACTAAGATATTTATAAAGCATGAATTTATTTGCCATGGAATCTAGCTTTTAGGCATCTCAACAAAATGAAAATTAAAAGGCCACTGTCCTCTTGTGAGTATTTCTACATCCAGCTAATTCTCTTCATCTCTCTTCATTTGTTTGAATCCAGGCCACCAGCATCTCTGGCCTATACTATCTCCATCACCGCCATACTGGTTTCCCGGCATCTCCTTCTTAAAATCCACAGAGCAGCCCAGAGTGATATTTAACAAATGGACCTCAGATAATGTCACCTTCCTGCTTAAAACCACTCAGTAGCTTCCCATCTACATAAAATAAACCATGTTTCTTTAACATGACTCGCAAGACCCGGCCCCTGCCCACCTCGCTAACATAACCTTATTCCACCACAGTCCATTCACAACCACTCTTTATTTACTGAATCTGCCGGATCTGTGGTCTAAATAATGGAAAGAAACTATGAAACCTATGAAACCGAACAGTCTAATAAAGCTTTTGCAGAAATATTTCACGAAGTACTTCTGAGGCACACATTAGTTACAACTATTATGTGATGAGCATTTACTTCACTTACCTACACACACACACACACACACACACACAGTGTATCTGCATTAGACACAAAGATAATCCCTGAGATCCTCAAAGCATAAATAATGAAAGGCAGGAAGACCATCAAAGCACTGAGTGCTTTCATAAGTCATTTCTGTTAGTGTTTTTCCTAGTCAGTGAATCACATAAAACTGAGGTGCATCTCCTGACTTCTAAGGTGGTACAAGTGGACATATAAAATCATAGCTTACCTCTTTCAGAGTACTGGGGTTGACAGGAAACCCTTTCCCCCCTGAAAGGCTGGAGTACTTCTTTTCCAAAGTACAAAGATTTTCCTTTTCCTGAAGGAACACAAAACCTATTAAGCTGAGTCAACCTTGCATTTCCCTGACGACTACTGACTAAATATTTTACCATGTGACTTACTGACCCTTCACATATCTTCTTTTGTGAAGTGTTTGTATTCAAGTCTTTTGTCTGATTTTTAAAAAATTTATTTATTGGTTGTTTATCTATTATTATTCATTTGTAGTCGTTTCTCATATATTCTGGATACAAGTCCTTTGTCATTTCCTCTTTAAGAAATCCTTGCTTACCCCAAGGCCAAGAAGATGCACTTGCACACTATATTTTTTAGAAAATTTATCATTTTAATTTTTATGTTTAGATCCAAAATCTGTCTTGAATTAATTTATATGTGTGGTGTGAGGATGAACGGTGTTGAGGTTCACTTTTTTCCATGTTTACCCACTTGATCCAGCACCAAGTGTTGGACTTTCCTTTCCCTATTGGATTATCTTGGAGCCTCTGTCAAAAATCAGTAAACAGTACATGTAGGGGTCTCTTTCTGGACTCTGTTCATTTCCTCTGATCTATATGTCTATTTGTACACCAGCACCACACCATCTTAAACACTACAACTTTAGAGTAAAACTTGAAGTCAAATAGTATAAATCCTGCAACTTTATTCTTCTTGCTCAAATTTGTTTTGGCTGTTTGATGCCTTTTACATTTTCACGTACAGTCTATTCTCATTATTTGCAGTAGCCATGTTGCCACGAACACTGAACTAGTGAATCCTGAACCACTGTTTCAAGGGGAAATACAGGGCTGGGTTCCTGTGGGCTTATAGTCACAGTATTTTCATCAATTGAGCAACACATAACTTTGTTTTATGTGTGTTTCTGTTTAAAGACATCTTATTAACATAAAGTTGGTTCATTAACATTCAACTCATAGCCAACAGCACTATAATTCAAGCCTGAATGAAGCTTTTCTAACACCTGTATATTCTCCATAAGGCACATCAGGCCTTCCTGCTCTTAGGAACACCAGACAGTACTTTTGTAGAAGGCTTGTGAGCCATTTTAAATAGCAAAATCACTAACAAAAAACACAAAAAATGTGAAAACATGGCACTAAACCATCCACAAACAGAACACTTGTTTACAGAGCATTGCCCTGTTCAGCCTAAGCTGGTAACATGCATGTCCATCAAGTGACTCAAAATATTCACTGCTCTGTGCATGTCCATCAGTGACTGCATGACAAGTATTAACCTTATTTTAAGGTTACAAATAAACTTTAGTGAACAGGTGGACTCACAAATATGGACTCCACGAATAATGAAGAATGACTGTAAATTTCAGCGTCAGCTTGTCAATTTCTTCAAAAACGTCTATTAGGATTTTTACTGGAATAGAGATCATCTGTAGGTCAACTTGTGGTAATAAAAATCTTAAGACTTACGAACCACAATTTTTACAGTAGAATCATATTTTATATATTTTAATGAGGACATAGTATTCCTATTGTGTTCACCTATTTAAAAAAATTCATCATTGGAGACTTTTTCCCTTTTTACTAAATTTCAAAACCTTCTGAAATCCTGTGTTACACTATCTAATTTGAGTTGTGCCTTTGAATCTTGTGAGCAAAAGGTGATGGGGAGGCTAATGGCACCAGAGTTCACCCCCAGAGCTGAGCACAGGGCTGGAAAATACAGCTCCAATGGGAGATTTCTAGGTGCTGAAGAAGCAGGAGGAGGGGAGCTGTCAGGGGTCCCATGTGGGCTACAGAGGCACCCCAAGTGAACTCATCATTCTATATGAAGGACCAATCTCCTCTCTGTTCTCAACCCAAAAATGGCTAAGTAGTTACACTGGGAACGCTCCAACTACACTTCTAGGCGGGACCATGGGACAGCCTCATCCTTCATCCATCATTCTAGATTTGATCTTTCTCCTGCACTCCACTCTGGGCCGATCGCATATTTTCATGATCCCAAGTGTCACATTCCAGGTATTGATCGTGGGTAAGGCTCAGTCCTGAGACTAGCCCCATCAATTTTAATTTTTGTTGTCTTACTCCTGAAATTAGACCAGGGACTACATCAGAAAATTGGGCTGCAGGTTAGGCAAAGCCACTTTAGGTGCTGGACAGAAGGGGACATAGTCTGTTTAATGAGAATGATCTTGCCATGTACATGGGGTTTCTACTTTGCCAATTAAGCCAAGCTAAATCCAATGTGGCGTTCTCCGAGAAGACCCATATGCCGATAATTGGAGTTCAAAATTCCAGAGCAACTGAGCCAAAATGTTTGACAGCAGTAAAAAGAGCAGAATGCATTTTGCCTATTCAACAAAAAAATGAGGTTTTTTAAAGAAGAAAATCAGAAGACAAACAGATTTTCCATAGTTTAGATTTTCACATTATGGAAGAAGAATGAAGAAAACATCTTTGCTTATTTTCTGGATTATAGTTAACCATTCACAGAGCATCAGCTTATTAATGCTCTTACTCATTATTATTTGGAGGATTAAATAAAAATGTATATAGACAATCCTTCCTTAAATTAGAGCTCACTATTCTTTTTTTTTAACATTTTTTATTGATTTATAATCTATTTTACA